CAGAGCTGTTAACAGCTAATGTAGTGTTACTAAGAATGAATGTAACCTTGAGCAGCGTAGAGCTTGGGAGCAGTAGTCACTGATGGTATTTCTATCTAATGAAAATGGGCTAGTTTATACAAGACGTATGATGCTCTGTCTTCCCCCGTTGTGTCATGATGGATGGTCATGACACAGGGAAGCAGTGTTATATATATGAGAGGACCCAACCTATAAATTCCTGACCCCAGCGGAAATCATATCATCGATTTTACATGTATGAAGATTCTGTTAAGCTTACTTTGCTGAGGAGTGAATAGGGAATTTCTCTTTTTATGTCTCTCTGGTTTGGTTTTTTTTTTTTTGTTTGTTTGTTTGGGGTTTTTTTACTACTTGGAATATTTATTTGTTTATTACCTGGTTTACTTTCTAGTACCTGGCTAGCTCACAGCCAACAGTTCAAACGCCCTACCTGAAATTAAGCATTGTTTGTCTTTCTAAGGCAACAAGAAATTCTTATTCTATTTCTAGTAAGATAGTAATAAAGCAGTTCATACTACTTGGTGAAGAAAATGAGTTGGTAACTAGTGAGACGCTGGAACAGGTTGCCCAGGGAAGCTGTGGATGCCCCATCCCTGGAAGTGTTCAACACTAGGCAGGATGGGGCTTTGAGCAACCAGGTCTAGTGGGAGGTGTCCATGCCTGTGGCAGGGGTGTGGAACTAGATGATCTTTAAGGTCCTTTCCTGAAACACCACTGAGGCAGGGTAACCTGGGGGAGGCCTTTAGTTTGTCCTTCCTGGCTTCTCTGCTGAAGGCAGGAGATCCATGCGCATGGAGAAGAGAAAACTCAGTGTTCCTCTGCGCTAAATTTTACATGGGGTGGGGTTGAGAACCTGGTGTGGCACTGGTACAACTCAACTGTTCCCCTGGCATTTTCCATTTAATAGAGAGTGCACAGAACTGCTGTCACAAAGACAAAAGTACAACCCCTCCTCTTTCAGTCTAATTCCCTTCAAGCTTCTCAGAAGTACTTTTACTCAAGCTTAACACCTGACATGTAACACCTAATGTGAATATACATTATATTTTGGCTTTAACTTTTTTCTTTTTTTTTTTTTTAAATTAGGCTGAAGAGTTAAAACAGATAGTTCTTTTTCCTTTTTCAGTTCTCCTTACATCACTTTATGCTGCTGGTAATACAAAAAGACTAAGAAAGGGAAGCAGAAAACCACCTGTAAGCCATATTGCTTTCATGTTTTATAGATCCTATATTCACCCGACATTTCAAAGTATTTACAAATTATGTGACATTTTTATTAGTTACTTAATGCAATAACCAATGAGATACATAAAATGACTACTCTTATCATACTAGTATGGTAATATAACTAATAGCAGTCTACTTCCAAGTATGATAGAATATTATTTTTTTTTCCTAGGGGACTTTTTTTCTTATCCACAACAATTTATTTGCTATGTACTTTCTGAGTTTTATATCTCAGGATACTATAAAGCAAAGAGAAATAGCCTTGTTCTTTTTTGCAACTTTCTGTCAGGTGTGGCAATAATAAATAAGTTAGCAATGTGTAAAAATGCTAGTCTCAAATCTCCTGAAATTGGTAGTTTTCACTGAATTTAATGAGCTTCCAAAAAGCCGATAAGCAATGACAAAAAAAAAACCCAACACAAAAAAACCCCACAAGCTCAAAGCACAGGTGGCAATATGTTAGTAAATATAAACTATTAGATCTCTCAGTTTGCAAAATAAATCTGGATGCTCTCTTAGAATCACAGACTGGTCAGGGTTGGAGGGGACCTCTGGAGATCATCTAGTCCAACTCCCCCGCCAGAGCAGGGTCACCTACAGCAGGTTGCACAGGATGGTGTCCAGGCAGGTTTTGAATGTCTCCAGAGTGGGAGACTCCACCACCTCTCTGGGCAGCCTGTTCCAGTGCTCTGCCACCGTCAAAGTAAAGAAGTTCCTCCTCATGTTTAGGTGGAACTTCCTATGTTCAAGTTTGTGCCCGTTACCTCTTGTCCTATCCCTGGGCACCACTGAAAAAAGACTGTTCCCATCCCCCTGGCACCTTCCCTGTAACCCAAGTCCCTCAGCCTTTCTCGAGATGGGGAAAAGGTGGTAGACCAGCTGAGAGAAACTGCAACTCTCACTGCCACAATGGCTATACAATACATGGAAATAGAACAAGGGGAACAGCCTGAATGTGAAAATATACTCTGGAAAAAAAAGACTTTCAGACAAATTGATGACAATAAGAGGTTAAGAATAGCAAAAAGAGAAACCAGTTCCTGTGGTGTTTATAAAATTTACAGGAGATGGCGCGTTCTTTGTAAGTGAATAAGACCACCCTAAAGAAATATCATCCTACGCTTGTTCAATTGGAAAACAGCCTGAAGGACTTCTAATAGTGGCAAATATTTGTGTGAAAATGGATGTTCATTATACTTACTGTCAAGGGGACTATTTTTATGCACGATGTTTTTAACTAAGAAATGCCATTTTGAGTCTATCAAAACTGCTTATAAGCCTGTGCCATGTTCCTCAGACTAAACAATACATGTCAACACAATACATGGAGGCAGTGACTGGCCATGCCAGCGTCCTCCATGTGTGTGTGTGCCTGTGTCTCTGGGATACATGCTTAGCTTCACCATGGGTTGAACCTGCAAAGAGGAGAGCAACAGCAGTGTCCCCCAGCCTGGGCGGAGACCTCAGGTCCCCAGGCACCAGGTTGGGCTCCACCAGCCGAGCAGAAGGGTCCTCAGCTGGGGCAGCTGGAGGAGGCAGCCACGCTCCTGACATCACTTAACATAGATGAATGTAAGGTTAGAAATCCCAAAGAAAAAGGAAATTAAACAAATTAAAAAAGGTTGGTTTTCTGCTGCAGCTGCACAAGAAGGATAGCATCATCATGCGCACTACCCAAAAGAGAAAGACAGTATGGTTTGTCAAGGCAGCCTTTATTATTGCCCATGAGTGTTCCACGTGTAATGTCCGTGTTACCAAGCCCTGAACATTTGCTGATACCACAGCACTTTGCCTATCAGCAGGGCCCGATAGGTGTGCTTTCATGGGCAAACACCAGGGTTCAGGGCAAATTCTAGCTTGGATATCTTCTTGGACCCTCTAGCTTCAAATGGATATCCTGCAGTGCTATGAAGTATTTCTGTGCAAGAAAAACTGGTTCAATCATATGAACAGGTATTATGCCCACATGTTTTTAAAGGTGTTGAAAAATTGAGAGGATGTAAAATCCCAGATACTGCACTGGCTTGAGAATGGAAGTGAGATCCTGGAAAATAACTGAGAAAATTGAAAAATGCCAGTCTGATGACAGTAATTTCCTGTAAAGAAAACACTGCATATTGAATATGATAATACCTTTAAATCTAGCCAAGAAAGAATCCAGTGAAATAGAATACATTCAAATGAGAAATACAGCACACATGCTTAACAATGGAGGAAATTAAGCAACAATCTAGTACATGTGAAGTGGTGGATTCATTTCATCTCTTGAAGTTTTCACAGTAAGACTGGGTGCCTTTCTCATCAATAGCACTGATGGAGCATTTGGGGGAATTATAACAGTCAAAGGCATGAGGTCACAGCATACAATAAAACTTTGCTTTTAAGATGTAGGGCTTTGTTTACCTGCAGGTTTCCTGGTGGCTGAATTGTGAGAAACAAGGGGGAAAATGAAACCAAAATAAATCAAACGCTTACCAAAGTAGATGAACAATTGAAATGGGTCGTAGCACAATAGGTAGAAAAATAGTAAAAAACATGAAATAAATTGAATGGGCAAATTAAGTTCTCAGATGCCTACATATTCAGATATGTCTATGTGAACAGATATATATTGTACCCTACAATGAAAAGCATTACCTACAAGGCCACTTTAGTAGGAACAACTATTTTAACACAAAGAAGAACAGAACTGAATTTACAGCAGCAAAGATCTAAATAACTCTAGCTGTTCAGTGGGATGAAAATTTAACTTGTGATGCAAAAAATACCTTAATTCTGCATATTTTTTTTTAAATAGCAAATCAGAGTTTCTTTGTTTTCATAATTAGTATTGGGCATCTGTCAAATAGTCTTTTCTGAATGTACTACTTGTTAGCAGGAACTGCTTATGACTGAGATACGGGCAGCAAGGTAACTTGTGCAATCCTGTGCCCAAATGACCGAACTGTTTATCCGTGTGGCACTTGTGTGACCATCAATGCCACTATGCCCTTGCCAGTGCTGCTTAGGGAGCTGGGTGCAACAGGAGCTTTGGAAAGGGAAAATCCTTTCCCTTCAGCCTTCTCCATCAAAGGAGGCTGACTCCAACCAGGGGAGTCCCACCCTTCTCAGAAAGCGTAGGCAGAAGTTACCCAGCTTGTCGTGTTTCCAAGTTTTATGCCTCACCTGGGCCATTTCTCCTGATTCAGAAGCCCCAGGCCAACCAGCTGCCATCATCACTGCTTCTGGAGGGACTAGCTACAAGGAAGGAAGGAAGGAAGCTACTTTTAAAGGATATTCTGTGAGGAACTGTGGGCAAAATTGTTTTGGAATTATTTTGGAGGCAGTAGTCTGCAAAATTTTTTTATAGCAGCACGTTATGCATCACCAGTAAGGATAAAAAATCAAGAGAGACCTCAGTCCACAAATTACTTAGAAATTCAGAATAAAAACCAAAGCAAAGCTTCTAAGTATACATTCATAAAGAACAAAACATGTTATATCATTACTTGCACAAGTCTAATCTTGGCCCACTTCAGTGTATTTGAACTGTTCATGCAGTTGTCAACAGATGCAAGTTAAAACATGCTCTTCAGATCATTCGATCTTGCTCGCTCCCTGAGAGTGTCCAGCCTAAAGCCACCTTTACCAAATACTGTGCCATTCACCAGAACAATTCTTATATAACAGCTTCATTCAAACAAACAAACAAACAACCCACCAATCAACACCCGAAAGAAAACACTCTTGATCACAAAACACTTTTGAGGAAGTAACTTTTGTTCTTTCTTTTATAGGTCGGCAAGTTTATTATCACCTTCCTTATCACACCAACAGAATGGGAAGGTCCCACAGCATGGCTGCAGCCATGGCTTCCATACCACGTTGTACACAGAGAGCTGCTCTGGGACTCGAGTCAGTGTCCTGCGATGCTCTTCTACGGCTCTTCCAATCTTCTTTATTACAGTGTCAAAGAGGGGCTCAGTGTCAGCTGACAGAGGTTTGGCTTCAGAAGGGTCTCGTGAAAGATCAAACAGCAACGGAGGGTCATGATGGGTCACGCCTTCCCCAAAACATGGGCAAAATCCTCTGTCATAACAAGCCCCACTTCCAAGAGGACGGAAGATGGGGGTCACATAATGAACCTTCCAGATGGCTCCACCTGGCAGAAAGGAAAGGAGGCTTACAATGATAGTGGAGGTTATCACAAGGCATTAGAAGAGTGAATGTTTTTCTAGAGTTCATTTCTGGTTGCACTTCATCTTACATTAGGAAGAAGTTTTTCACTTTGAGGGTTGTAAGGCACTGGAACAGGTTGTCCAGAGGGGTTGTTGAGGCCCCATCCCTGGAGGTGTTCAAGGCCAGGCTGGACGTGGCCTTGGGCAACCTGGTCTAGTGGGAGGTGTCCCTGCCCATGGCAGGGAGGTTGGAACTTGATGATCTTTAAGGTCCTTTCCAACCTAAACCATTCTATGATTCTATGATTCTGTGATAGTATTGTAATTTCATTTAAAATTAAGTGCCTCAGAATTAAGCCAATAATATAACATGATTTCTGTTTGAAATTTTGAAATTTCTCCAAATTTTTCAGCAAGTATCAGTTATCACTCGTGTCTTTTATGAAGACATGAAAAATGATTTGGGTTTTCCATGGCTTACTTCCTTGTTAAGGTAGCAGAAGGACAGACAAAGGGCTGAGGCAAGGACTCGTCCATGAGACAAGGAGGGCATGGATTCCCCAGGCCTTGCACTCAGATGAGTGAGACCCATCCTGAGCCTCAGTAGCCTGCCTGGCATGACACCTGTCTTGAAGCCACGAACAAACTCTTTGTGCTATAAAATACAAGCAGTGCTGGTTAGTTCTTTGCCACCTTACACCTGGAACTAATTGGAAAGCTGCAATCCCAGAAAGAATGCGTTAAATAAATGTGCTCTCCCGTAGATGGAACCTAATTCTTAGGAAAAAAGTTCTGTACTCACTGTCCTTCTGGTGCCACCGCACAGCATGTAAGTGAATGCCACAGTAATGAAACAGGAACTCGTGCTCTGAGTGCTCAACTGTTCCTCGCAGTAAAGGCATCAGATCCCGGCCATCAATTACCCTAGCAGAAAAAACGGAGACCATCAGACTGAGGTAAGATGTACAGGACTGCGTTCCTTTAGCACACCTCTTGCTGGAACTGGCAACTCTGAATGAGGAAGATGCTTGTAGAGGATTGCAGGTAGATGATGAATCTCAAATGCTGAGAAAAGGTGACTGAGCTGTGGTGACATTTATGTGTCTAGAAAAGGGGCAGGAGTGAAAAAGAAAACGTCAGACTGAGAACGTGTTACCAAACTAGATTTTCCATTGTTTTGGGAGAGAAAGACACTTCTGTTTGTACCTGTCCTGGGGTAGTACCCCTCCAGCCAGATGAACTACTGTAGGATAAATGTCCATAAGGCTTGTAGGTTCATTGATAACTGTGCCTGCAGGTAACACTCCTGGCCATCTAAATATCCCTGGGACACGGATTCCTCCTTCCCAGCCTCCCATAGCTTTTCCACCTTTCATAAAAAAAAAAAAAATTCTTTTTAAAAAAGTTTCATTTAAAATAAAGAGACATTTTAGACAAATATTATTGAATTATCATAAGGTAATGTTACCCTTATGAGCCTTCCTTACCCTTTTGTTTTCACTGCTAAGCTCCTTCTCCTCAGCATCAGTGAAAGTGTGTTCACTATATCAGACCTCTTGAGTGACCTTACACACTTACTCCCTTCTGTTGTTTTACAAACCCATTCCCCCATCAGAACTCAGTGTGGATAAAATTTTCAGGCATAAAGTGATTTCCCAGCCTAGTTCTCCTCTTTCTTTTACCATCCTCTAACATACCTGTTGTAGTTAAAGCAAGGGTTCAGATGTAAGATGCAACTAATATTTAGTGAGCAGTTACACAATCTTAATAAAAATTAACTTGTGATCAGTTGCCTCATGAGGAAATGAGTTTGAGAATTCATGCTTATAAAGAAGACCTGCACAGGGTAGAATTGTCTACATTTTTAAATGCCTAATTAGAATGAAACAAATTGGCTTCTCAATGATAAAACGTTGGTACTCCTTGTACAGTCTTATCTAAGCTTTAGGGTTGTCCAGAGGACTTTACTGGGTTGTCACTGCCCCTGACAGCTCTTACCTCTGTATATTCCATTCCAGCCACCCAGCTGCCTTTTGCCTTCTTGTCTTTCCAGCCATCCACCATGATCAGAGGCAAAGTAAACTAGTGTAGTATTTTTCAAGCCTTCCTTGTCAATAGCATCTAGAACCTGGCCTGTAAACACAGGAATATGTCTGTATTAAAAAGCAAAAATATCACTTACACTACATAATTTTTAGCCTCTGAGTTGTAAACTTTCATCAGTAATTTCATTAGTAATATAGTTCTTTTTTATTTAAAAGTAATTCTTGAGCTGTTTCTGATGTTCCTAATTGTATTTGTGGTGTGTAGGTGTTTGACAGGTAGGTTTGAAAATCACTTCTTTCTGTATATGTAATCTGATTGTTATCCCTTTTGCAAATGTAGCTACTTTTCTTCCGCCATGACTGGGTGATAAATAATTTTCTTTCCTCTCCAAAAAACAGGCTGAAAAATAACATGAATCTAATTTATGGGGGCATACCAATTAACATTTATGAACATTTCTGGATTTATGAATGGGGCTGAAAAATATTCAGCACTCTGCTGAATGCAGCAGTCGCAGAGAAATATCCTGCTGGTTTACACCTGGAATTAATTTGCTTATCAGTTTTATCACCTTCTGATGTGTCCTACTTAGAAATAGATAAGACATGACCATAAGAGGCTGAAATTATCTGATCATTAATATTAATAGAAAACTAAATAATTCTCACCTATTTAGTAAAAAGAGCAGAAGAGCTCCTTGACAAAAGCCAAGGGGACATGGTTACAACTGTTTAACACTAAACAAAAAAACCTCAGTAAACAGAAAGAATCATTTGGTCCAAGACAGGAGAAAATAAAACAAGATACAAGATTGATAGATGTTGATGAAAAGCTCTTCCTGTTTTTCATTATCTTCCTTGTTCTTTTAATAATAACTGCCTTTTTATTATACATTCAGACTTCGGTATTAGGGAGTTGGAGACATTGTTATTTGCTATGGTGACTTACCCACCATCCAGTCCATTTCTTCTACATTGTCTCCATATAAGCCATGGCTGCTCTTCCCAAGAAACTTCTCTGTGGTGAGGAGAGGGGTGTGGGAGTGTAAAAAGGAAAGAAAGAGGAGGAACGGCTTGTGCTTATTTCTAAAAAAAACAGAAATCAAAACTTTGTTATGGGGGAGGAAAGTTCTCAATACATACATGAGGTCAGTCATAATGGAAAATGGTATTATGATTTGTGTTTGCACGTACTTCAACAATCACTTCAGAAACATCTTACTTTGTAAGATATTAAAACCCAGTGATTAGGATCTGTTTTATAAAATCAAGTTTGGCTTGTATAAAATTCTTCTTTTTTTCCCTGAATCATAGATAGAAAAGTTCCAGATTGAAGCTCTACTTTCTGCTATTGCAAACCACCACGGTGCTACTAAAATGAAGGCAGCAGCTTCTTCTCCTGCCAGCTGTTGCCCACGTGTCAGTCCATACGATAAGGCTACCTCACAGCTCTACTTTACCTTCCCTGCACACACAGGCATTTTGCCATCAGCTGCTACCCCCTAAGGCTGCGATGTTGGTCTCATTGATAGAAATCCATATTTCCTCAAAATAGCCTAGAAATGTTCAATCCAACCCATGGAAATTTAGAAATGTTATCAGCTTTAGTGAACCTAGGAATAACAGACATCCTTAAGCAGCAGCTGAATTTTTGGTTTAATAATATGATATCATTATTAATATTATTAATGATAGGCATAATAGTACTCATAATCTTATGTAGTATTGTAAAAACTTCACGTGGGAAAATGCTATTTAAAAGTTGCAAGACGTGCAAGAACCAGGAAAACTGTGATCAGAGGAAACACACTTTACCTTTCAATAAATGAAATGGACTCTTTCAAGATAAGGGACGTAGTCCTGTCTGTCACCATTGGCTGCTCAGTAACTTCGTGGTTTCTCATCATAATGCAGTTCCAGTATCGTACAAACCCATAACTTGAGAACCAAGATACGAAGAACAGGAGACTAAACCCAGCAAGGCAGGTCAGCGTTTTCCAGCGGACTGAAATCAAGCCGGTCAGTCTTCCCAGGGCAGCGGTGAGTGTAACGAGGCCAATCATCTGAGTGGAAAGCCAGAGTTTCCTTCTAAAGGCTCTGTCCATCTCTGGTGTTTCCGTTGGTTGGCAGTCACTTATTAGCGTAAAAGGCATCCCATAAAAATAGTCAAACCCGTGGTTTAAAGGGTGGTGGCAATGGTCGTTGCGGGATTCACAGTTAACACCTTGATGCCACTTCCCTGAAAATACAGATTATTAAAATGTAAAGAGATAATATTTTAAAATGGGCTTTTCCTCATACGAAACAATTCTCAAAAAACGGTTGGGTTTTTTTCCTTCTCGTGATAACTTCTTCATCCTACACATATATACCAAGTACGTACTGATATAATGGGATATATCTTATGACTGATGAAAGTAAACCTCTACAAATTACAAATTTTGAACAGAGTTATTGGTACTCTGTATATATATTCATGCCCTGTTGCTTTGATCAAATGTAAAAAACTGGACTAAAAAGGGAACTAGAAATTGAGAAAAATTCAAATTTTTAGAACCGAGCAAAAATGTACGGCCTTCCTACAGACACGTCAAGTATGAAATAAGAGGAAGAAGTCCTTTTGTAGGCACAGGGCAAAATACCATTTTTCTGTTGTCCTGTTGTCTCTTTACCTTCTAGGTGCTATGCAAGCTTGTTTCTGGAAAGCTTTGAACAGCTGGATGTCAGGACTATAGCAACACTCAGCGACATGTTCGTGTCAGTCTGATAAGAGAAGCTATGGATAGTGTAGATAAGTAACTTGCAGCTCAGCAGTAGGTTTGTCAGACAAAACACTAGATCCAGAAGAACCTGAGCTCAGGAGATCAGGATTTCTCATGAAGCTGTACATATATAAGCAACTTTGCTGATAATATCTGCATATACTGGATGAGAATAAAAGGCCTTGTTTTATAAGTATTTTTTCCATTTATTGGCATTTCATCAATTTTAAAAAGTCAAAGCCGCCTTCTTTTAAATTCTGAAGTCTTCATGTATCTGAAGAAACATCTTCTGACCTTTGCAGTAAAATTTGTTCTTTATTATGAACATTTGTCCACTGTTGTGATGAACAGCACATCAAACCCATTCTTTTTCTTCCCCTCCAGTCTATTCAAACAGACTGGTTAGGCACTTACACAGAGACATAAAAAGCTGGCTCATTTGGCTTAAACACTGAGGCTTGTGAATATCTGAATCAAGCGGCCAAAATCTACCTCTCATCAGAGAGATGCAGTTTAATCGCATTTTATGATCACTGATAGGATAGAGGCCTCAGATACCAGATCTATAGATCAAAATGAACTTTTAGAATTTTACTTGAAAACTAATTTGCAACTAATTCTTATTGTGGAGTAAGGAGCTGTGTACTTACAGAAGGATATTATCCTAAACAAATGATTCACTGTGTTGCATATACTAGCCGCCAACCCCAAGCAGGTTTCAATAGAATTGCTGTGCATTAGAATAGGAGCAGAAAAAACTTTTTCAGAGGAAAAAATGCTGCTTTTTGGATATAAAGAAAGTTCTATTCTAGGTGGATGAATTGCTTTCAGCTAAAATCACTACTCAGTTTACCTCTTGACATATTTAGAGGCAGTTATAGAATAAAACAGGTTTGTAATCAATACATAGATGCATTGGTCATAAATACAGGTGCAGCTAACGTATCCTTGGACTTCAGATGCACTCCAACACCTAAATCTCCAGCTGAGGTCAATAAAGGCTTCTGACATGCTACAAAAGACTCAAATGTCCAGAAGATAAACTAATTGTATAATTAACATAAATTAATCTTTGAGGGCACGTTATACAACACTGGCTGACGACAAAGAAACTGCAAAGTGGTTCCCAACAAAAAGTCTTATTGTCATGTCAAGATGCATGTTATTAATAGGATTTAACTTTGTAATTAAACTAGTTGTGCTCAGAGCAAAGCAATCACAAACCATTCAGGTGAGACTATTTAGTGCTCCTTCAGTCATGGTAACGTGGGTAGATGTTCTGTGAGATTTCTTGTTTCATGACTTGAATGTAAAGTGATTGCACGTTTTGTGTGTCATTTATCACCAGGGCTTTCCATCGTCTCCTATGGTGCAATTAATCTGAATCTGTCAATGTGGTTAAACCAAGCGATGCTTTTGGTGTCTATAGTGTGATTTTAGCTGAGATGCCCAGAGGGAAAATGCCAGCCCATTTTGCTAGCTAGCTTCTAGGAGGTATGCAGCACAACCTCCCTGCAGGGCAGTTCCTTTGGCACAGTGGAGACAAATCTAATTGTTTGGTTAGTGATTACATGCTGAAACCAAGCTGAAGCACGTGGCTAACAGACATGGGCTTTTTTATGAGCTGATTAAAATAACTAAAATAACATCGCTACAAAACCATCAGGAGAAGAGGATTCAGTAATACAGAACTTAAAATGTCCGGAGGGCTTCGTTTAATATTGTCCTGGATGGTTTAGATTTATTCTGCTGAATGAATACAAATCCATTCCTGCAGACACTTTTAGTAGTGAATTCAGTTTATTTGTGCAGCCAATATTTGTATGTGTCAAACATAGATTTTAGATATCGACATTTAGATGCTTAGATGAGGTAGGGCAAATAGCTGAAAATTCAGGTCAGGAACGTTTGTGTTTTATCGGTCTGTGGAACTATGTGACATATCTAAGATAAATAATTATTTGAAATTGGATCCTGACCAAAAGTTACAACTGTATTAAAACAAAACAAAAAAAAGTCCTATACAATATAAAATAAAATGGAGTTTGTATTAATGCTGAAGGAGGCAATGTTTTGTGGGCTGTACTGAAATCTTGGTGAACTATATAGTGTCACGCTGTGATTAAAGAAAAAATAATTGCTTTGTTTCTGTTTTTTGAAAGGCCAAATCCTGTGATATTATGAACTGGCTCTATTGTTTTAAGTAGCAGCTGATACTTTTTGTTGTGAATCTGCTCTGAGCTGTGTAAAGCGTTGTCATGCATATTTAAATGGCACACATGTTTTTGTTTTTTATGAAATAGCATTGGAATAATTAGCTATACCTGGTAGAATAGTATTCAAGAAATAGTATCATATTTTCCATTATATATTTTAACAACCACATCTGTGCTTGAAAGCAGGTCAACAGTAAAGATTGTTCTCTTTATCAGATGCCACTTTTTTAAGAAAGGTTCTTTTTGGTCAGGATTTCTTCTTACAAGATATTCTTAAATCAGGAAATAAAAATATTACAACTGTGATATGAGCAGTTGCTAACTAAAACAAATGGTTTGAGTGAGACACGCAGGTGAAACACATTCTACCCCATCTTCAGGAGTGTTCCCATACCTATCAGTCCTGTGCTGTAGCCTTGCTGTTGCAGTATTTTGGCAAAAGTGGTTTCATTTGGAGGAAGCCCTCCTGAGCCGCCATTCCAAAAAATAACACGGTAATTGTTTATAGCATCCATCCCTAAAAAATACAGTAATAAACAATCTTAGTAAGTATAACTGGCAGAGTACTTTTATCAAACATGCTTTCTTGTTTCCTGGTTTCATCGATATTATAGTGTTAAACGTTTATCCTAATGCTGTTTGTTTGGGGAAATAAATCTAGGACTCTGGACAAGATTAAGAAAGAGTTAAGTCTCTCCATTATATAATACCTGTTCTTCTTTGTATCTCATACTGAGACATTTTATTTTATTATATTTGGAATGGCACAGTTGTATAGGAGCTTTTATATGTCACAGTGGCATCCAGGCTGTATGGAGTGCACTTGGTGTGACTGTGAGGGCAGGGAGGAGGGTGGGGAGACTTCAGCACTCTGTCAGTCTCAAACTCCGGCTTGCATAAGGCTGCCCAGGAACTCAAGATTTCCCAGCACAGTGGCATGGCTGGTATCCAGCTTCTGAAACCCACAGAGTGGCTATCTAGCACCGCAATCTTCTCCTCACCTGCAGGTTTACACCCAGTAATTTGGCATTATATACTGGCATAACCCCATCGTACAACGTTATGCAAGGTACAATCTGTCACGGAAGTGTTGAATGTCTCTGGCCCTGTTCTTATAGTGGGAGAGAGTCTGTGCAAGCTCATGTGCATTTTTCAGGCTAGCTATCTCAGTGGGAGCTGTCATGATGAAAGGAGGATGACATGTCAGCTTCAAAATGCCTCAGGAAGGACGGCACTGAAGATCATTTGCAGTAGAACAAGCGTTAGAGAGTTGCTGTTAGAAACATGTAGAGCTATTTGTTTTTCATACCTCTTCATCTCTGGGATGCAGTTTGACAGGGTAGTATTTTTTTCTTCAAAAACAGAACTGGGAAAAATAATATAGCTGTCAAACTGTTATTTCATAGGATGGATGAATTCTGACATATAGGTAAGAAAGCTTTCCTGTAAACGATGTGTTCTGCGCCTCGACTGGAGGGAATGGCCACACATCTGCATAGACCTACTCTGCTCCCTGCAGGGCTGAGCTGTTTCTGATATCTGATGAGGAGTCGCCCTTGACAGAAATTAATATAACTAGTGCTTTAGAAATGTGTTATTATTGTGCATGTTCTGTGTAATGACTTTTTTGAATGTAACAATTTGTACTAACTCCATTCTGGCTGCAATTTGTGCAACTGAAGTTGTGAGCTGGGGGAAACAAGCTGCTCTGCAGAGCTGTCTCTGCTCTGCTTCCCCCCAGGTTGGTTCATTGTACCCCATAAATATAGATATCACCTCAAAGGTACTAGACCCAGCTGCTGTGTCTTTGTGTACCTCAGTGAGGGATGACGTGTTTGTGGCAACCCTTCTGTTTGCACACCCTCGTTTCTTTTGTGCTCATGTTATGACATTGTTCCCTTCAGCAATAAAGCAGTGTTTAAAGGCTTCTTGGTTTTGCAAGGCAAACCTGATCGGAGGGGATATCTGCCGGTGAGGAAAGCTGCTCTGCTGGGGGTGCAAAGCGGAGCTGCAGCAATGTGTTGGGTCAGTTTCACTCCTTCCTTTGCCAGGCGATCAATGTTTGGGGTCCTAAAAATGCAACCAGTGCTGTCAGATATCATTCAGAGAGTCTTTAAGGGAATGGGGAGGAGGAATAATATACTTATCGTTATTTTGGGAAGTTTCTTCTATTTGAAGATGGTAAGAAAATATATTTTTTAAAAATTTATTTTTATTTTATCAAGTGATGGAGAAATACTTTTACTTACTTTTTTTTTTTTTTATTCATTAACAATTGCTATCTGGATAAATTTCGAGCCAATCATTCCTTCTTTTTTCCCCAAGTCTTAAGAAGGGCCTTGCAGAAACGTACCCCACTGCTCTTGAAGAAGAAAACTCATGCTTTGGGAATGATGCTATGCTGAAGTGGAGGCCAGGCCACACAGAGCTCCATCAGCTACCTATGATCATGAGCTACCTATCAGAAACTTGCTGGCCAGTGCCAATCAGGGTGAGATTCTGAGAACTTTGCTGGATGAGAGGAGTGATTGTACCAAATTTGGTTTTGTTCAGAGATGTGACAGGCTGGTAGGAAACCAGCAGGCAAAATTGTGGCACTATTTTCAAAGAGAAGGGAAACTCTGTGTCCTTGGATCTGAAAAGAGAAGGTTTTCCTAGTAACATAGATCATTGCAGTGATTTATACTATATTTTGCTGTGAGACTGGGAAAGAATGGCAAAACAGAGTTAAATGAGGTAATGAGGCCTGATATGTTGAAAGACGGGACAACGTTTCTATCTTCAGGTATGTGTAAGAGCTTAGCATTTCTCAATGTCGGGCAATTAAGGAATATACAAGAACGGCTGACATATTCCCACAGTAAATCATCTCGGGATAGCAGAGCTGGCACAATCCTGGTCATGCTTTACATTTACCCATAGCACCCATGGCAAATCCTCCCATTTCTCTAAGAAATGAACTTAAAGACGGCACGAATAGTTGATGATGGGCCGAGGACTGCAGTCTTACATTAAATAACACACCAGCTCTGTTCGCTGTTCTGCTCAGTTTCCTTACCTGATAGTATCATTCCCATAGCAACCTATATCCCCTATGCCGAGGTCATCAGCCATCAACAAGACAATGTTTGGCTGTGTGATGGTGGAAAGCTGTGTCAGCGGTGGCTGCAGAAGCAGACCAAAAATCAGGAGTGTGACCAGGGATGTCCTGAAACACAGAAGAAGGAAAGAAGGCAATGACCTGGCCATTCATCACTCCCGCCGCATGCTGCTGAAGACCTTCCTGCATGAGGTTGGCTGTGGACCAGACCACTCTCTGCCTGGACATAGAGTGTGTGTTCAAATTTGATCATTGACATGAACAGATGTCATGGAAGAGAAAGTGTCAGGGCCATAACTTCAAAATCTCCTTTTCTGATCATTTCCAAACTTCCTATGAGCAGTCTCACTTGGGAATCTACATGTGACAGGTGATGTATAAGTTATTATGTTTTAGTGGCTTGGGATGTTTTTTAGAAGTCGTTTTGGGAAACTGAGAACATGATCAACATCCTCTGATGTCCTTCTCACCCTGACTGTGACCTTTGTGTTGTGAAAAAGTTAAGAACAAGAAAAACAAACAAAATCACATTGCGAGTATACTATATAGATAAACAGCCCTACTCTTTTATAATAGTCTTATGTCATTATTAAACTTCACTCATTTTAAATCCAAGTATGATAGAACAATAAGTCATGAACTTTTTTCTTACCAAGAAGATGTTAGCTGCAAAATCATTTCTGCATTTGGAATGCTCAGATCCTGCAAAACCAAGAGAGAGAGCCTTATCATGTTTGCGTCTTCCTAGTAGTCACTGCAATAAAAGTAGATAAAAAACTTAATCAAAGCCTATCAACACTGCCTCTGTTTTATTTACTTCAGTGCACCTCAGATCAGACCCTAAATGAAGAAGTAAAGGAATTAATGCTATTTTTATTGCTAGTACTTCTTTACTTCTTAGAGGAATTTTTCCTTTTGTTTAGAGTTTATCTTAAAATAGCACAGTAATTCTCTTTTGTTACACGACTCAACTGTATGAAAAGTACTTAATGTTCACAAAGGAAGAGAAGAGCTTTTTAAAATCCAGTCCTCAATATCATTTACTTTTCTGTAATCACAGAGACAGTAGCAGCCTGCTGCTTCTTCACATAATGTGCCAAGTTTCTTTTCAGGGTTGTAAGAGATATCTTTAGTTGTAGAAATTCTAATAATCCTCTTCCAACAATGACATTTCCTTAGGAGACACTGAATTTGTGACCTCCTGTTGTTTGACTCTGAGCTGAGCTTTTTTCTTTTTTGTATGTGTCAGATTTCAGGGGGTGATGCTATTCCCCCCCCCACCTCTGCACAGCTTTCTGCAAAGGTTCCTCTGGGGCTTTCTTTTTCACTGCCAGGACAAGACTTTGAAGTAAGGCCAAATGACCTTGGTTCAAAGGCTTTAAAATAGACTCTCTTCAAATTTATCCCATGTCTGGTTGAACTATCCCAAGCATCCCAATTTTATAAATTATACTGGTTTCACATTTTGTTTTCCAGAAATGATAGTATTTAGCAGCTTAGTTAATATCCATAGTTCTTACATTTTATTCATCATCACTACAAGCCTCAATGGGAAAATTAAGATTTCTATGCTTAGAAAATTGGCAGCCAAACAGCTTTAAATGCTTATTTACAAGTGCAATGCTGATGCAGCATCCCTATCTACAGACACTCAGACTTGGTTTCCTGCATTTGGATTTGCGCCTTCGCTGCACCCTAAGTAGGTATAGGAAAGATACTGGAGGACACCTCAGCCATCTTTTACATATACATACTATGTGTCTCCAAAACAGTTGAAATAAATAGGAGTTGGAGATATTCAAATTTAATCGTGTAATTGGTTGTCACTAACTGCCTGTACTTCACGGTAGAGATACACTGATTCAAAGCACAGGCTGGAGCTCAAGGCTGAGTTTCCTCAGAAGCTGCCTGTAAAATAGCAGGTAATATACAGAAAACCATTACCGCTCTGGCTGGTGTTATTCCTCTCGAGCCGTTTCCTTAGTGAAAGGTGATGGGAGTCCAGTCGGAGGAACTTTAGCAGCGCTGGTGGGAACAAGAGGGACAGCAAAAGCAGCTTGCCCTGTTCCTCCCCGTTCTGAGAAGTCAGAGGGGTCCCCAGGTCCCTGCTCTGCAGTGCAGCTCCCTGCCCGGCCCCCGGCAGCAGCGAGCGCCCGCCCGATTCAGCCCCAAGCAGTTTGGAGGATGCTTTTGGGGACCTCTTTGGGACCACTTTTGCCAAAATGGTACTTAAGCCGTGCTGCAAGCAAACAGTCCACCTTGCTGTCTGAATTGAATTTGGCTTAAAGCAAAACTCTTTCTTCCATCTCCCATTATTCAAGCCCCCCAAAGTAATTTAGATTTTATCCCTTTCTTCATCCATTTTAATAATCCAGGGGGGGCATAGCTTGCATATCTTTCATATTTTACTAACTGTTTTCCTGTACTGATTGAACTGTTTTAATCCGTCTTTACTTTTTTGTCAAAATACTCACGAGATACTGAAATCCCAATTCAATCCAGTTTGCATATGAGAAAATATTAAGATTTTTAAATACACTCAGATACACTTTTCACAAAAACAGTACCCATTTGTGTCATCAGTTTGGCAACACTTGGTGAAAGTTCTTACAGGTAATTCCATTCAATTTTGTACTGTTCAGTCTGTGAAAACATCTTCTAAAAATCCCTATTTTGTAGACTTGATATAGATAACAATAAAAGCCAGATTTTCGACAACAAGTTGCCTGCAGCTGTCTGCTCTCACTTTGTACGCAGGCATGTATGAGAATAATGTTGTTGTAAAGGGAAATGCCTTTTAAAAACTTCCTTGAGATATTTTTATCTACAGAAGCAAAAAAAAAAATATTTCCAAATGCCCATTAAAATTTTCCTGTGCATTTCCCGACATAGTAAGGGAGGAATACGGTACCTGGTCAAGTTATGCCCAGAGCAGGCTGCTGATACACTGGAGTGTGAGATTATTTTCTGTCGACTTAAAACTATTCCAAATTTTTCAGCACGACTGCTGCTACAGCACAGAGGCTAACATCTGTTTCTGAAGGCAGTCCTTAAATGTGCCCTAGCTGCTCATGCGCGCTTCGCCACAGGAAAGCCGTGTTATACCGGAGCTTGCAAGCGGCTGGCTGCTCTAACTTATCCCGGAGCCTCTTAAGCTGCACGTCTCACTGCTGTTTGCACAACGATGACATTCATACACACGCGAGGGTCGGGTTGGGGAACACCACAGATGTAGCTAAAACGCTTTCTGCCCGAGCGGTGGTTTCTCAAGGGAAGGGCAGGACCTCCTTCAAGTCTGAGACACTCCAATGAAAGGCACTATAAATAACAATTCCCCACAAACCTCTCCTCTTTTCCACCAAGGAAAACAGAAAATTACTGTACTTACAAAGCAGCAGTTCTTTGTCTGTAGAAATAGAAATTAAGTGAATATCTTCACTTCATGGCAGCCCCGAGCGCCTGCAGTGATGACAAGGTCATCTCTGCACATGCGGAGAGAAAGTTTTAGGGTGTGGGGAGGAAATGCCAGCAAAAGACCTGAATTTGATTTTGTAGAAAATGAGTCATTTGGCTTGACTTCAGAGTGCTGCGTGTTTCCTAGTCGTCACTCAAAGGGACAAACTAAGGTTACCTGCTGGCTAATGCTTTATATTTTGATTTTTCTTGTTTGAGTCCTGTTGTACTGAGTGTTTTGGTAAAGCATGAGATACTATCAAACAGCAATCTTGCTTTGCTGACAGAGAATTTGCTGTGTTTTCATATCTTAAGAGAGAGGAGGGACGTTGTTATGGGTTGGTGGTACATCACCAATTGCAGTGCTCAGGTTGGGTTGCTAGTGGAGCACCTCTCAGGCAAGTTACAGCACCATAGGTGTTCCTCCCCTGCTCTCTCCCACCCCAACATTTCCATGCTGGAGCGGTTACAGCCAACACACACAGGAGAGGTGATGTGTCTGGTTTTCCTTCCCTCAGTGACTGCTTCCTCATCCCCACCCACATTATAGCATCTCAGTCTGTACCTTTCCATTTCCCATTCCCCTTCACTGTGCCTTAAGTGCTTCAGGATTCAGTATGTAGCATTTCTTGTTGTCTGATGCCCTCTGCTGCTGTATGATTTCTAAAAGGAAAGCACCTTCTGAGGTGCTGGGGTTTTCTGTCCAGGATGCAATCAGTCCTAGCCAGGCCCTGCTGACTGGGAGAGCCCTTCTTGCAGCTGGAGTGTCCTTCATAGCTCTCCTATTCTCCTTGTGTTTTTCCAGGACTTCTTGCAAATTCTATAGTATTTGTAACAGAGAACCACAAACTACAACTGCTATGTTATTTACTAAATTTAGAGTGTAGCAGAAAATTGAATGCGTGCCTGCAGTTACACTGCAGTAACGTGTCTTCGTTGTTGTGTACGTAGACTTCTTCTAACACAGGGAGAGCCAGACCAGGTCACTGCTGTAAGTAGCACTTGTTGAAATCTAGCTGCTGGGAATGACCGCCTGGGCACAGCTATGGTGTAATGGAGATAAGGGAGGGAGAGTAGTGTTTGTGGTCTAAAGACGTTCCTCTCACAGTGACAACTAGTGTTCATTTTGGTGTTTGATCTTTGAAGGAGGGGAAGGTGAATGCCCTCTCACTGATGCCATGTAAAGATTTTCAAAAGGTGTTGGCAAAGCTAATTCTGTTCCCAGCCACTGCACTAACTAGCTAGCTCTACCTGTTAGCTGTGGGGAAATCTTTAGAAAGTCTGTATTTGTTCAGAATGTGGAATAAATGTGGAATTTTGCAGAAGCCTTGCATACTCTTGTCTTTTACCCTCCTTCTCTTTAAACTAAGTACTGAAGGAAGTAGCACTTACTGACCTTACTAAAGTACTTCAACATCTAAGAGTGGAAGGCCAAAGTTAGAAGCATTCTGATACTAGGATATGATGATAAAGAGGCTCCCTCTAGTGACTAATTTATTTTTGAAATCTCGTTATGTTTCAGAGACCGTTTGATCCATGCTCTACCTTTCTAAAAGTGATTGCACAATAATGTAAAATGGTGTTATTTCTTTGAACTTTGATTTACACTAGGTCTCCAAGGCCTCAATGCCCACGAGCAGTTGCAGAGCTGTTGTTTTCCTGGAGCATGTAATCTGGGTTTGTGGCACCGGGAAGGAACCTGGTTGGTGTGCTCAAGGGTTGCTCTGCAACGTTAGCTGAAGTGCAGTAAGGGGGAGCGAGTGGGAGAGTCACTTCAAAAGCACATTCCTGGACTGGGGTAAAGCTGTAATTCAGCTGCCCCAATTCCTGCCTAAAGCTCAACTTAGAAGGCTGCTGCTCACAAGTCTCAGACAACGATGCAGATTACTTACATGCCATCTAACCTCTCAAGGGAATCTAAAAATCTGTGTGTGTTTCCATTTTGGGAAACAATTTGCTGTGCTGACTAAGCATAACAGCCTACTTTGGCCAGTAGAAATGGTAGGGGCAGGTACTTGCATGTAGGCATGATCTAACTCTTCAGCAGAGTGGGATGGGAACTTAGCCAAAAAAAGAAAACCTCTAAGCTGTGAATAAGGTATATAAAGAGCACTTACAACAGGAACCATGGCTCTGGATTTCACTTTCAGGAACCCCACCTTTTATGAGAGAGATGGATGTTAACTTTCTTCAGAATAACTTATAGCTTGTTATAAGATAGTTAAAAGTAAAAAGGGTCATGACCACTCTGTCCAGCTCAGGAAGAAGTGCTGTAGATGATCTTCAGTGGAAAAAATATAGTCTTCTCCTTCTTGTGCTTGCCTGCACAAGAGGGTGCTTAATTCAGACTCCTGAGGCCCTTCTGCTGCCCTTGGTCATGCACTTTTTTTTGTCACAGGTTTACAGCTTCACTTCTTTTTTGGTGGCTTCTTCCCACACAGGGCAGCACAGCCCTTGTGTTGTCCCACAGAGGTGGCCACTTCTCTGTATTCTGCTCTAGAGGGACGCCCATCTGCCCTAAGCACCGTATCCTGCTGTTGACATCTCCAGAGAATGCAGTCTATGTATGCATCCGTGGCAGTCTGTATGGATTCTACTTTTTAGGAACAGCCACATGAAAGTGAAATGCTTAATAACTGGCAGGTGGTCTCTTGTCCTCTCTTCCCTCTACTGCAGTGAATGTAGTGGTAGCCTAATGTGTGTGAATATTTATGTACATACCAGAATTTACAAAGCTTATTTCAAATATTTCTTTTTTTTTCTTTCTTTCAATGGAGAAGAAGAGTGAAACAGATTTAGAACAGTTTTTAGGCAGTTGAGGCTGCTAGACTAAAGTTTATACTGAAAATATTAAAAACCAAAACAAACCAAGAACTTTTCACAAGCAATAAGATCAATAGAGAGTGGGGACATCTGAAAAAAATCATAGATTTTCTCTAACAACCTATAAACTACACAAAAGAGATTTTAATAGCTTGTGGAAACAAGGCACATATCTAACATGTTCTTAAAACCCCTGCCCTTTAAAACTGCTTAAATCGGTAGGAGTCTGGGATAAAGCACAATAGTGCACGAGGATCTGAAAGTATTACCTGATCCCATGTTCTGCTGCTTTAGGAATTTCCCAGCGCTGCCGCTGTTCTTGCAGATACCAAGAGCTATAGTCTCAGTGGGGTGCTCTTCCAGCTACAGGGGCCTGAATAAAAATCTACAGTGTTTAGTTTCAGACTGTTTTCTGATGCTGAGTCTAAATGCATTCACACAGGTAGAGATTATCTAGAAAAATTACTATGAGTATTTTGCAAAATATTTTTACTAGCCTGTTAATTTAGGAGATAACATAGTGAAAAACCACAAGCCATCAGTGTCACTAAATAAAGACTAGATAAGGCACTCACAGGGTGTGACAGATTTTCAATGTTTTTATAAACTC